CAGGCCAACTCCCTCCCATTCCTAGGGCACAGTACCCACCACGAAAGTCTGCTGGGTGAACCCAAGGCCATGAGTTCCAGTCCTGACTCGGTCACCTGCGAGGTAGGGCCTGTCACCTTTTCCAAAGAATCCCAGTCTGATCACTGAAATGGGACAACGGTCCTGCCCGCAGTGGCCATGGTACCTGGCATGCATCCGTCCCTTGAGGAGGGAATACCAGGCCAGGCAGGTGGAATGTGCACAGACAGGCTGGTTCGGCTGGTCTGGTCTGGTCTAGTCCAGCCCAGTCAAGTCCAATCCGGTCTGCAGAGCTCTCTGCACACTGGCCTCCCGGCCACTGCTGCAGGCACCACCCCTGCCACTGAGTGGAGGTTTCTGCTGTCGGCAGCGGCCAGCAAGCCTCAGCAAACGCATTTAAATCTGAAGTGACAGATAAAGCGATTTACGGCGACAGTTTAGCGTCAGATCACTTCCCACCAGGCAGTCAGCGTCCCTGCGCGGCCTCCTGCTTGCTAGTCCATCAAGGCGGTCTCTAAATCACTGACTGCAGCTGTGGCCAGGACAGCCCAGCCGGGGGCAGGGATGGGGCAGCTGGCTTGGTGGCCTGGCCTGTGCCACCCCAGGCAGCTCTGATGGGATGAGGCGAGCGGATTGCGAGGGGGACCAGAGTACACGTCGGCCGGCAGATTTGCACAAATCAAAGTTGTAGGACTTAAGGAAGCAGAGTGCCTCTTCATGCCCGATTTTAAATAAGTAAGCGGCTTAGAAGCCTCCCGTGAGGGCAGCTTGTCTTGGTGAAACAGCTCTACACTGTTCTCCTCAGCCCGGCCTGCGCGCCCTGGGCCCCCCAAGCCCTTCCAGATCCCCCTCGCCTCCCGCCACCTCCTGGCAGAATTCGTCCCCGGGGCGTCGCACGGTGTTTTATTGGACCTTCTTTGCAGCACTTTGTCACATTATAGTCTGCCAGCTACTCTGGCTCCTCAGACCCCCGGTACTAATGTACTAGGCTCTCTGTGCTCGTGTTGGGCTGGCACCGGATGGCCTGAGGGCGTCGGCATCCTCACACTCTCCCTGCACGTGGCTGCCACTGAAGCCAATTTTCATATGAGAGTTAGGGGCTCCATGGCCCCAGCAGGAGCAGAGTGGGGATTCCTGCCTGTCCTAGCCTCTGTGTCACGAACCTCAGCACTGAGCTGGGATGACAGAGGGCAAAGACTCCGAATAGGTTTGCACAAAGCATTGCATTCATCTCTGCACCATCCCGCTGGGTCCTCAAGGTCACAGCGGGGCAGTTTGGACCCCGGGGCTGGCCAAGAATGGGGGTCTTTCTTTGTGCCCAGGCACTTCCTGTCCGGGACAAGGCATGCACACATGGAGGGCTGGTGAGCAAGCGTGGCGGAGAGAGAGAGCACAGACGCTCTGAAGGATGCTGCACCCTCCCCGGTGCAGACCCGCAGACCTGGGTACCCCAAGGTATGGCCCTGAGAGTTACATGCCAGGGTGGAATGCCAGGCCCTGTTCCTGAGAATCCCCTACTTGTGCAGCATTGAGGGGGGCGCAGGAGCCCCCAGCTTATCTCGCTGGCGTGGCAGCCCATTTAATTAAAACAGATGTGGCATGTCCTCGTGGGCAGCAGCCGTGGCCAGCACAGGTGGTCAGAGCCTGGGTCTCTCCTGGGCCCCGCACTAGTGAGTGGAGTGTAGCTGAGGTGTCTCTGGGGGTGCTCAGGGGCTTGGCCTGCTCCTTTGACCTTGAGCACTGCCACTCACCCAGGCAGGCATCCCCTCTTGTGTTCTGTGCCTGGCCGCCACCTCAGCCCCCCACGCACCACACATCCCATCACGCCTACCTCTCAGCCCATCATAAGCACCAGCAGAGTCGGGGGAAAAACCTGTCTCAGACTCCAAATGCCGGGTGGGCAGTGGGAACAGAGTCTGATTCCAAAGCTCTAGGGGAAAAGAAGGAGCGGGGTGGAAGCAGGCATGCCTCTGATCCCTACCTCCCCCCAAGATCCTGGTCCTGCAGAGGGGCCCAGCTGGGCTGGAGAAACCCCAAGCCTACATCTTCTTGGGGTACACGAGGCCCTGGGGGGCCGATCCCCCTTCCCTCACAGGCCCTCCCCAGCTCCCCTGAACCCCACCCTGCAGGTCCCTGCAGCTGGAATGACAGGACACCCCATCTGGCAGCAGGGACAAAAGGAGACCCCCATACAGCAAATCCAGAGGTTCTGGCTGGACCTCAAGTCCCCAGCACTGTCCAACACTCGTCCAGTCTCCATGGGCCACCAACAGCCGTGGGGGCCAACACTGCCCCTGGCTCAAAACTAAAAATTTAAAAATTCCCACCTGCAGATAATTGCTCTTTCCTTTTGCCTATTGTGGTGGCTCCGTGGTCGGCGCTGAGAAGCAATTACTCACAGCTAATGATTATAATCAAGTCAAATAGAATTTAATGGACACGTATTCTCTTCCTGCTTGAAACTTTACATATGAATTAAGCACATATGGTTTTCACGAGGCACAGACGTAGATTTATGCAGCCCTGAGAAGCCCCGCGTTGCCCACGACTTTTATCCTGCTAATAAACAGCCTGATTTATGGCTCTGCTGGAGACGCGATCTCTGCTGCCCCCTGGTGGGCAGTGTAGGGGGTGGAACCACTGCTGGGGAACTTCGGGAGTGGGAGGGAGGCAAGGTGCCCTCCCAGGCCGCCCCCGGGTTCTGTGTGGGGAACCCCGAGTCCAGGTCCTCACCATGAACTATTCTCCGGGGCTCTCCGTGGGTCCGGGCGTTCCGGGCTGAGACTAGGATAAGGAGCGACTCCGGGAAAACGTGCCAGGAGGTGCCCAGGAAACCGAGGCAGGCGGTGGGGAGGGGAAAGCTTCCCATCGGCATCTTGGGTGGGGCTAACACCCAGGAGGACACCCAGGTGGCCGATTCCATCCCCAACCCCACAGCAGTGATGAGTGACAGCGTCATTCAGGCCTCAGCACCCCTACAAACGGACAGTGATTGCCTATCACTCCCATGGCGCAGAGGAGGCATACAGAGAGAAGAGTCCCCAGAGAAACAGCCAACACTGTCCCTGCCCCAGCCCTGGAGCCGCCAGACTGCTTTTTGGAGTGAGGAGGGGAGAGCTAGTGTGCCCATCTGACCTGTTGCAGGGCATTCAGGAGGAGCCGTTGATCGTACCATAGCCTTCGAGCCCCAGCCTGCTCCGTCTGTGTCCCGTGACACCACCTTGGTTCCTGTCTCCCCACCATGGCCTACACAGCAGCCAATCAGCAACCAGGCAGGGAAGGAGCTCTAGAGACCCCCGCTCTCCCCACTCCCGGCCACCATGCAGCTCAGAAGCAGCCAGGGGACACCTCCCTACCCTTCGTATGTGCCTGAAACCACACAGTTATGACCAGGTGGCCCCTTTGTGGCTGTCCCTTCAGCCAGCCCAGACAATGTCACACCAACAAGCCGCAAAAATGTCCTTCTCAGGGCTGGGGATTTAGCTCAGCAGCATAAGTACCCAACTTGCAAGCAGGCGGTCATGAGTTCGATCTCTGGTACCGGAAAAAAGCAAACAAAAAAAAAAAAAGCATGTCCTTCTCCACTGGGCCACTGTGGCTGTCTGAGCTCTGCTGCCCCCAGATGGACTCAGACCTCGCTGCCACCCACCTGCACCAGCTGCCTGATGGCCATCTGGCAGAACCACTGGCAGGACCCCAGAGAAGATCTGTTCCTGCTGGCCAGCCACCCCCAGTGGGAACTCCTGTGTGCAGGTGACTTATTCCCTGTGCACCTGTGACAGGTAGAACAGGGGGAAGAGCACACAGCCCGTGTGACTACAGTCCTGCCAACACCAGCACAGGCAGACGCACAGAGCAATGCCACTGCCAGAGACAACACCCAGACCACAGGCAGGAGGACCGGGACACCTTGGCCCACCTCCTGCAAGCCCAGTCCTTACAGAGACCAACGGGGCACCGACAGCATCAGGTCCCAGAGGCACCGCCAAAGGACGGTTCCCTTGCCTACATGGGGGTCACGTACAGCCACTGCAAACCCAAAGTTGAGAGAGACAGAAGGAAATTCCAGAAGCTCTTCGGGTGACCCAGGCCTGTATAGGTGAGGAGAGGCGTGTTTTCCTTCTGAACTGGAGCCTAAGACAAGAGGGCCTTCGGTGATGGGCCCCACACAGAACCCGGGGGAGTCCTGAGAGAGGGTCCCTACTCAGACGCGGGACTGGACCAAGCGAGCCAGCTGGCCCAGACCTGGCTGCACTTGACCATGTTCCACACACACACACACACACACACACACACACACACACGCATGCTTGCTAGCCTGGCCCAGCCCTTGGCATCCCACCCCCGAGCACTCCAGAGACCTCCCCCAAGGCCTATGGACCCCAGCCAGACAGCCACCACTGCCTGAGTACATCGGCAGCCGCCTTTCTCCCTCCCACAAAGAAGCAGCCGCTCCGGACTCTGCACTCATCACAATAAACTGCCAAGCCAGCAAGAGGCGGACGGATGCACAGGAAGCCGAGCAGCTCCCGTTTCCAGCGCTGCTGGAGAGCTGCCAGGAGGCGGCAGGGGTCCCTCTGCGCCCATCCTTCCCTCCGTGCCCCCCTCATCTGCCCAGGTGCAGGGATGGGGGGTTTAGAGGAAGGGAAACGGTCACGGCACACCCAGGTGGGACCCCCAGGGCCTGCCCTCTGCCTTCCTGGCAGGGCAGCCTGGCCCAGCCCGCTTCCAACCACATTCACTGGCTCTCTTCCTTCTCCCGCTGCTAATGGCTCTCAGAGATGCGGGCGACCTAATACTGCGGGTCAGGGCTTCGAGTGAAGGGGAGCCCCAGCGGCCAATGCACTGGGCTCCGATGGCGCCAGTGGGCCAGCCTTGCTTGACAGCCTCAAGCCTCTCTGGAGCCAGGTGGCGCCCACCCACACCCAGCACGGCACACCAGAGCCAAGCCAACAAGGCGGCCACCTGGGCCAGCTACTCACCAGCGTTGACAATGGCATCCACCTCCAACTTGGTGATGTCGCCGCGGAAGAGTGAGATCTTCTCATTCAGCTGCTTATCCTTCTTGTACTTGGGGTCCTCCACCTTCACAGACACCCCTGGAACAGGCAGAGGCTAGGAGTCACAGGGTAGCTCCTGCTGCAGAGGAACCCAGTCAGGACCCAGGGGCCGTCCCAACCCCACCTGGATGCAGTTGGCACACTGAGGAAGGACCTGCTGTATGCCAAGGAGGCCTCCAACACTGCCACAGGCAGGTGCGGCAGTAATATATCACATTCCCATTTTACAGATGTGGAAACTGAGGCTGGGGTGGGGTAAGTGACTTGCCCAGGGTGCTGGTTACCAGGCTTACCTTTGTAGCATCTCCCCAACCCCTGCAGCTGCAAAGCCCAGCTCCAGACAGAACAGGTGGCTTTCGTGGCTCAGAGTCTCTTTCCTAACAGGTGTCTTGCTAGTAAACTGCACTGGCTTTAGGCCATGTGAATAATTAAACAGGACAGCCCTGTTGGAGGATCCCATGCAGCAAGCACTAGAGTCTTCCTAGCTGTACAACTCTCCCAAGCCAGGGTCTAAAGGAGCTGCCCACCTCAGAGCCAGCCGGGGCCTGGCAGAAGCAGGGCCTACCTTTGGCCATCTCCTTCCACGTTGGGATCTTTTTCAGCCTGACGAAGTCCCGGCAGAAGTAATGTTCCTCCCGCTGCTTGTCACTCAGGCCCTTCAGAAAGGCTGCAGGGCAGGGTTGACAGGCAGGAAGGGGGTCAGAGTGGCAGCCAGGGCACAGTGCAGTACTCCTACCCCCAGGACCCCCTCCACGGAACCCTCGCCTACTCCAGGGGTGGAACCCATTCCCATCAGGCCTTGCACAGCCCTGTGGGGAGGGATCACAGAGGGGAGGGGCACGTCACTGCCGTTAGGGCCCAGCAGCCCCCAGAACAGCCTGCCTTGCTCTTTGCTTAGAAGGGAAACTGAGGCCAAGGGTGGTAGAGGGGTAGAGGTGGCAGACTGGCTCAGAATCAGGCCTGACCACTTAGCAGCTGTGTCCCCATCTCTCTAGGTTCCTAGTTTCTTAGTCTATAGAAAGAAAATTATGACTCCCCTAGCAGAATAATTTCAGACTCACACCTGACAAGCCAGGCAGCCTGGTGGCACTCAGTTGGTTGCATTACCAACCAGTCACACCATTCACATGAGCTGAGGACAGGATAACCAACTGCCTTCGGGGAAGTACAAACCAGATACGGCACACACCTGTAATCCCAGCACTCTGGGAGGCTGAGGCAGGAGGATCTCAAGTTCCAGCCTAATTTATCAAGTTAGCAATTTAGGGGGGCCCTGTCTCAAAAGAAAAACGTTTTAAAAAGAGATGGGGATGCAGCTCAGTGGACAAACGTTGATTTCTACCCCTGTACAGCAGAAAAATAAAGCAAAGGAAAACTACAAAAGCAAGGAGATCAGGGGCCTTGCACTACTGAGTGCCGAGTCCCCACCAACGGTTGCCAGCCTGGAAATGCACCTTAGGCATTTATGGAGGCGAAGAAGCAGGGGTTCAGGAAGGCTGGGAGGCTGCCCGCGGTCACAGAGCCACCTGCTCAGGGACTCTGGGTCTGGTGGGAGGCTCCCTTGCAGTGCCCTGCCTCTCCCTTCCCTTGGGCCAGCACAGAACACAACCTCAAGCGACAGGCTTTTCCACCCGGCAGGCTGGCGGCTCACGGGCTCCCCCTGCCGACCCAAGGCCGCCCGCGCACCCAGGTTCAGCCGCTGGGGGAGCCCCGGGACAGCGAGCATGCTGGGTACCCGCAGCAAAGGCCCCTCAGTATCAAGACACTCAAAAAGCATCGGAAAACAGATAAGCGAGGGGTCAGTCAAAGGAGGAGAGCAGAAGGGCCACATCCCGGAAGCGTGTAGCACCACTAACTTCCAAACTGCAAATCAAGCCTGGACTGTGGCGCATAGCGGCCGCTTCTCACCCCCACCCCAACCCCACCAGTCCACTGCATTCATTGGGCATCTACAACATGCAGGTCCTACTCCGAGTCCTACTCTTGTTTATATGGTGTAGACAAGGTCCTGGTCCTTGTGAACCTAAAGCCAGTTTAAACCAGAGGTATGCCTATTATCCCAGCACTCGGGAGGCTAAAGCAGGAGGGTCGCCAAAAGTTCAAGGCCAGCCTGGGCTACATAGCAAGATTCTGTCTCAAAATAAGTAAATAAATAAATAAAATCCAGCCAGGGACACTGAGCCTAATCCAAGGGTCATACAGTCTAGCCACTCAAATGCTGAGACAGGCCCAGAAAGAGACATGCTGGGGCTGGGAGAGAATGTAACCAGAACCCGGAGGACCATGGGGCAGACAGGGAGGTAGCTGGAGCCAGCCTCCTCCCTGCCTCCACCCCAGGCACAAAATTCAGAAAATCAGGCTCCTGGGCAGAGGGGCCATTTGAAAGGCACTGAAGAACCCTCCAGACCTCCACTGTGTGACCCACAGAGACAGTGGCACACAGCTGTGGTCTTGGCACTTAGGAGGCTGAGGCAGGAGGACTGACTGAGCCCAGGAATTTGAGGTCAGCCTGAGCTACACAGCAAAGCCTCATCTCAAAACAAAGAGCTGGGCGGGGTGGCGCACACCTGTAAATCCAGCACTCAGATACAGAGGCAGGAGGATTGCACTGAGTTTGAGGCCAGCTGAACTATGTAGAGAGACCCCCCCCCAAAAAAAAAAAACAACCCTCCCCCTTCCCCCCAAAAAGCAGAAGCAAGGATGTGCTACAGTCAGTGGTCCAGGCTTAGTGTACATAAGCCCAGGGCTGGGAGGCTGCTCAGTGGCACTGGGAGGGCAAAGATTGGGTTGCAGAGGAGAGGACAGGCTCCATCAGTTAATAAATATTTACCAAGCATCCACCCTGCTCCTGGTCTAGGGACGAAAGGCTCCTGGGGAGGGAGACCAGGAAAGCATCCAGGAGGAGGCAGCCCCAGCCTCTGGGTCTATCCCCAGGAGCTCCACCCCCACCAAGCAGAAACCCCCACACACATTTCCTGCCCTTCCCTGGAGGCTGTAGGTGCCCTTGGACACCGGTCCCCTCCCTCCCTGCTCCTCCTCCAGAGGCACTGAGGAACGGAAGCTGGCTCCGCAGTCATCACACGCTGCCACCTCCCCCAACAATCAGGAACGGTCACCATCTGCCACACCTTGTCCTGCCTGCCTTGGGTCACCAGGCGTGAAGGGCTTCCTGCCTTTTCCTTCCCCCGCCCCAGCTGCCCTGGTCCTTAAACACTCAGGGCGCTCACCTTGCGTGCCCCCCCCCCGGCTGTCTGCGTGCCTCCCCCACATCCTCCCTCCCAGGATCCCCAGGGCACCCCCCTCCATGAAGGTCCAGGACATGGTCTGTGCACACACACTGCAGCTCCCGTGTAGACTGGAGTCTCCAGCCGCCTCGCTTCCTCTCCCAACCCGTACCTTCCCTAGGTCTCCGCATCTAACCCTGGGAAGCACCCCAGTGCCCCCCACCCCTTCTCCCACTCCTCACAGGCTCCCCAGGAAGCCCAGGAATATAAACCAGCTCCTGCCCCTCCCCAGTAAAGCTCCACAGAATCCATCTCCCTCCCAGCCTGCTCCATGTGACACCCCACCCACCCGCCTGGCCACAAACCACTGCGGTTCCAAAGAACCAGGTGGCTGCCTGCCTGGGCCTTTGCACCTGCCGCCCCCCTTGTCTGGATGCTATTCTTCCTCTAAGGTCCCTCTGGACCTTCCTGCAGCGATGTGGGCCACTTTGCCTTCGTCTACATTGACTTCTTTTTTTTTTTTTTTTTTTTGTCTTTTTCATTTTTATCGGTACCGGGGATCGAACTCACAACCGCCTGCCTGCAAGGTAGGTGCTTATGCCTCTGAGCTAAATCCCCAGCCCCCTACATTGACTTCTTGGCCATCGCCATCTGGGCCTGGAAGTTCACGTGAGGATCCAGCCCATTCAGGCCCAGGTCCCGTGCACAGCATGTGGGGCACAGTTCGAGGGGAGCTGCGGGGATGAACTGAAGGCAGAACAGGAGTTTGTGAAGCCATGGATTTTCCAGGCAGGGGGGCCAGCATGTGCCAAGGCCCTGAGGAAAGGGGAGCATGGGATGGAAAAGTGCGGGAAGCCAGAATGGTTGAGCCTGGGTGTCAGGGGGACCCTGCCCAGGCTGTGACGGTGCCATTATTCTTCCTGCACAGCAGGTCCCATGAGTCATGGGCTCCGGACCACCCAAGGGCGGGTCACCCTTTCTGAGCCTCCGTTTCCTCACCTCTGCAATGGGAACAAGGCTGGGGTCAGAAAGGGGGCCAGCTCGGCACATGGCCACCACACTCACCAAGACCATGAGCGGAGTGCAAGCAGCACCAAGCCAGACAAGACGCAACTAAAGAGAATTTCTGCCCAACCGGAGAGCTCAGGATGGGAAAGGCTTTTAAAATTATTTGGGTCCCCATACTGGTCATCTCTGAAAGGATTTTGGCCCAGACGGGACACTGTAGCTGGTAGTAAAGCCTTGGAGGCAGAACCAAAGGGCTCCATCTTCCCTGCCCCTAGGAATTTACCTGTGTCGAGAACTGAATACCAATGGGCTCCCTGTGCATCACTAATGCCCCTCAGGCACCACCCCAAACCTAAGCTACACGTATGCCCCCACTCCACGTGTCCAACAGAGAGATTGCCAGACCCCAGAGAGATTGCCAGACCCCGGAGAGAATGCCAGCCCCCAGAGACCCCGAAGGGTCAGGGCGTCTCTCCCAGCATTCTTAAAATAAAGGTCATTTATATTTCATACTTCTTATCTTTTCAGCCACGCCACAATTCTATCAATCTCACTGTGTGCCTGAAGACCCCCTGGCCTTGGCATGACCCAGTGTGGGCAGCCAGACCCAGGGTCAAAAAGCTCAGGCTCCTGCTGTGACACTGACAGCCTGGCCACCAACCACCCCATAGGCCATGCACATGTGGAAAGACTGGAGCTGGGGTGGCCCGGAACACCACAGGATACCAGACACCCCAGGGTATCTTCAGCAAGCATACATTTTATGTGATCACAAACACATAAAAGACAGCTGGGGCGTTGTCCTCCCATCCCCATCACAGTGACCTTGTCTGGGTGACCCCTTCTTTCCACTGAAGTCCTAGAAACACCACTGTTTTCCGGAGACAGGATCCTGGCTTCGCTACCAACCTGCCGGGCACCAACCTTGGAGACATCTGTCAGCTTGGCCCTGCCAGTCTGAGGGTCCCAAGTGTATCCCAAGTGTTCTGGCCCCCCGTTGCCAGAACAAGATCACGACCTCCAGAACTGCTACCCCCACGCACTGGGGAAGAAAAGGCCACTGTGCTTCTCCCGTGCCCCGAGGCCACCCCCTCGCTCCAAGGCAGGCCACACACCATGCATCTCCAGTGCCGCACTGCCCACCTCCTCCCGCTGGGGCAGAGGCAGACTTAAAGCACAAGTGAGCTTCATCTTTTTATCAAAAATGTAAAACATGCATTTTCATTTTCTTTCATTTCTGCAGAGGGGAAAGTATTTCACAGCTCACTGAGACAGGTGCTGTAAAAAGATGTTCGCAGTAAATTTTGATGGGGAAGCCTGACCCCAGCCTCCAGGAGCTCACGGGCACCGAAGCCAAGCAGGAGGAAGCGGCTCCACCAGGGCCATAAAGTCCAGGCAAACGGGAATTCAATGATGTATCTCATGGAGTCTTTACGGCGCTATGAAAGTGGGTGTTCAGGCCAGGGTGCCAAGGGAGTGCGAAGGGGTGTGCTTTCTGGAAACTGCGGGTGGGCAGGGCGAGAGTGCCAGGCGCCAGAACTAGGTGCAGTGTCTGGACTTGGGGGCAGGGCTACTGATCCTGAGGTCACCGTGCCTGGGGGCAGGGGCTCCACAAAGCCCATGAGGCACGGCAAGGGAGGGACAGAACTCGAGGCACCTGGGGGCTGTCCCCTTGTCTCCACCCGCACTGGCACAAGGCTGGATCCTCTCGCCAGTGGGGGGACCCCACACCCCTAATTCTAGGTGGGCCTGGAAAGTGGGCCAGCTTGACAGTCACATCAGGCCCCCAGGACCTAAATCAGCCCTGGCCCCTGCCCAGGCTTTTACGAGCCCCACCAGGTACCACCAGGGAGAGGACACATGGCCCAGAACGAGCAGGGGCAGCTCCAGCGCTGGAGACAGCAAGCTCTCTGGGTCACTATGTCCATCACAGAGCAAAGACAAGAGGCAAGCACCAGAGGGGACAAGCAAAGGGTACCACTGGGACACTCTCTTAGGGTGATATTGAGCTACATCCTCAGCTCTTTTATTTAGGCGCCGTGGTCTCCATAAAATGCTAAGTGGCCCAGGCTGGACCTGAACTTAGGATCTCCCTGCCTCAGCCTCCCAGAGTACTGGGGTCCCAACATAGACTCCAAGCAGGTGCCATAGTCCCACTGTACAGAGGAGGAAGGTGAAGACAACATGGAAGCCATAGCACTGGGGCCTGCCCAGGCCCGAGGACAGCAAGGCCCCTTCTCTTCTGAGTGCACAGCACTGCCCCCAGTGTGGGCTGGGACAAAGGGCCGGACCGGCCCCAGCAGCCCCAGCAGCCACATCCTAAGTCCCCTCACTCCCAGCTGCCCTCATGCTGAGAAGGTGCCACAGGGGACAAGGAGACAGGGTAGGACCCAGAATGCAGTGGGTTACGCTGGAGAAATGCATGGCTGGACTCTTCCAGTAAGATGGAATGTAGGGGCCGGGGCTTTAGCTCAGCGGCACAAGTGTCTGCCTGGCAAGTGTGAGGTCATGAGTTCGAGCCCCAGTACCAAAAAAAAAAAAAAAAAAAGAACGTCTCAGCCACAGCTGTGATGGTGCGGGCCTGTAATCCCAGTGCTCTGGAAGGCCAAGGCAGGAGGCTCACAAGTTCCAGCCTGGCTTGGACTTAACGACTTAAGGAGACCCTGTCTTAAAATAAAAAATTAAAATTAAAGAAAGTTTGGCAATGTCATACAGGGTGAAGGCCCCAGGTTCAATCCCCAGCACTGAAAAAAAGAAGAGGAACAGGAGGAGACCAAACAGACAGGAAGAAGTCATGAAGACTGATGAGCCCTGGGAGACACTGACAGAAGGAGGCTCTTTTTTGGGGGGTGGCAATGTGACACCTGTTGCCTACGGGGGTGACCACATGAGGGCCGGGGACCGTACACCGAGACTGGGGCCCTGGGTGTGCACCAGCGTGGAATCTGACTTGCCGGCTAAAGTGACGAGAAGGGCCAGCGCCAGGTGGGACCACGGACTAGACCAGTCAGTGGGGTCCCCGGGGCCAGCCCTGCGCCCGCCCGCAGATGCCCCCTTTCAAGCATGCAGTATGCACCCAAAGAATGAGTCCCTGGGTCTGATCCCCAGCACCCCGCAAAAAAAAACTCCTACAAAGGAGGAACCACTCTGCCTCCCTGGGGTGCAGGCCAGGCCCCTGGCTCTACTCTCAGTCCTAGCCTAAAGCAGAAGAGGCAGAGTGGGACTTCGGAAATGGGTCACAAAAAGGCCCTGCACCTGTACCTGGTGCTCACTCTGCTGGGGACAGCAGACTCTCCAGCTCACAGAGCCGCCACCAACCTCACAGGGACCTCCGTCAGACACCCCCTGCTGACCATTCCCAGAATCCTGACCTCTATGGCCCTGTCTCAAATCACAAATGTGGGGTGCTTTCTCACACAGCAACAGGGGGTGACAACACAAGCTACCCTCAGACAGCGGCTGCATTGGGTGCTGGCGTGTGTGGGTTCCAGGACAAAGAGCCTACTGTTGGAGGTTCTGGGACCCCCACCTGAGCGCTGTCCCCTGAGTCTGTCCCCTGCTTTCAATCAGCAATGGGCTTGGAGTACCCTGCTCCAGCCAGCTTGGTCCTCTTAGGACTCACTTCTGGCCACCTCCCCTCAGAGGCCTCAGACATTCCCAGCTCAGGAGGCCCATACCTTTCTTTCTTTCTTTTTAATTTTTTCCCCCCATGGAGCTGGGGTTAAAACCCAGGGCCTCAAGCCAGGCATGGTGGCTCATGCCTGTAATTCCAGCACTGGGGAGGCTGAGGTGGGAGGATTGAGACCAGCCTGGGCTACAAAGTGAGCTCAAGGTCACCCTGAACTGCATAGCGAGACCCCATGTCAAAAAAGACAAAAAGGGGCTGGGGATTTAGCTTAGCAGCATAAGTGCCTGCCTTGCAAGTGAGTTCGATCCCTGGGACTGATAAAAAAAGACACAAAGACAAAAAAAAAAAAAAAAAAAACAAACCCAGGGCCTCACACACTCTAGGTTCTACCTCTGAGCTACCTCCCCAGGGCTTTTTATTTTGTGACAGGGTCTCACTAAGTTGCCCAGGCTACCCTCAAACTTGGGGCCCTTCTCCCTCAGCCTCCTGTGCAACTGGTATCAGACTCCGCTCCACAGTTTCTTCATGGCACTGATGCTACCTAGCACCATCTCCTCTGTCTAAATTCATCTCTGCTACTCACCTCCCCTGCCCCATGAGGCCAGGGAGGTCTGGCTCATGGCTGGACGCCAATGCCATAATAGTGCTGGCCGTGTAGAGAACACCATAAAAAAGCACTGCATGAATGGTTAGAAATCCCAGCTCCAGCAGGAGAGAAACTGAATCTATCACAGCCTGGGAGTCCAAGTCCTACAGCTTCCCCAAGCCCAGAGCTCCCAGTGGCTGGATCCAGGGGCTGGATCTTCCCTGACAGACAGCGGGATGGTTTTCAGGGCTCCCTAGGGGACAGTGACTTGCTTGCCCTGCCACCAGCAAGAGTTGAGGGGTGACAGGTTCACTGTTTGCTCAGCAGCACCATCGGGTGTTTAGGGTCCCAGGGATGCAATGCAATTTCAAACACAGAAACAAGTCCTGTGATTGCTCCTGCTACTGTCCATGATCCCCTATAGCCACTTTCCCCTTTGTGCTGCCCGGCCCTGAGTCACACCGGTCAGCAGCACACCCAATGGGTAGCCTTCACTGCCCTTGTGAAAGAAGATCCAGCCAGGAGTCCCAGGAGCCAGGGGCAGCCCTGAAGGGCAGAAGCAGCTGGGCACAGGACAGGGCTATTTGGGACTCTGCAGGTGCCCTTCTTCCCTTCCCAGTTGGAGACTCACGGCCTGTCCAGGGCTCCTGGTGGCTCAAAAAGGGGAAAAAGTAGTTTGCTTCTTTGGGGAGCAAGGGGTAGAGTTACATGGTCTCCACAGGCAAACAGTCCATCTCTACCTGCCCCCGCTTTCTAACCTCTGCTACCCAAGAAAGGGCAAAGACTACTTTCCAAGTGGCCAAGAGCCAGTAGGGAGGAGCAAAGGGTACCAGACCACATGCCTGGGAGGCCTGCGCTGGGGTTGGGTGGGGGCAAGTCAGATCTGCCCACGGAGGCCACTCCAGGGCCACCTGACACCCTAGGGGAGCTGCCAAGCCCCTGAGCTGTTCCCTCAGGCCATGCCACACCATTGCCTCAAATGCCACCAGCCAAGAACCATACAGGGAAATCTGGACCCTAACCTCACAGGCTCTGCCAACCTGGCTGAGTGACCTTGGGAACGTGAGTGGGACCTTGGACCTCAGTTTCCCTCCTGGGCACAGAAGTTCCGTGGGTGCCCTGGGACCAGTCCGCAGCGAAGCTGCCAGCAGACTACCTGGTCTGGGGGGCTGGAGTGTATGTGAGCGGGCAGGCGAACCCCGGACACTCAGAGGGGGCGTGGCTGTGGGGGAGGGGGTCTACCGCGGACCGATGGGCCTCAACGGCCCGGGTCTCCAGAGGGAACGGCTGCTCGCGGGGTGCTGTCCCACCGGGAAGCCCCACGTGGGCCGCCCTCGCCCCTCGCGCTCCCACTTACATTTTGCCTCCTTCCAGTCGGTGGAGGTGCTCAGGTCCACCTTCACGGCCATGGCCAGGGGGGCCCAGGTGCGCACCCCGGCCGTCTGGCCGAGCGCCGCCGCCCCCCAACCCCCAACTCCAGCCGAGGTCCGCGCGCGGGGTCCGAGCGCGCCCAGGGACGCCAGGGGGCCGGGCCAGGGGTGTCGAGAGACTAGCAGCTGCCCCGCCGAGCGCAGCTGTGCCAGGCGGCCGGACACGCGGCCCTGCAAAGACATGGGTAGACGTCGCGCGGCGGTTCCCCGCCCACTTGGACTCTATTTACGGTGCTCGGGAGACTCGTCCCTTATTTACTCGGAGACCTGGTGGCGCGTGCCAGCCCACGGCAACCTGCTTGGAGCCGGCGAGCGGCGCAGCCAGAAATCCCGGGCGCGCCGCTGGGCACCCTGGAACTTGTAGTCCGGCTGTTGGCTGGGCCGACGCACTCTATACACACTTGCGAGTCCCGCCCAAGGCCTCTGCCCGCCTAGGACTCTAGAGCACCGCCCCGGCCGACCCGGGTCCCAAGCGACTGCTGCGCTCAACTCCTGGGACCACAACCTTCGCTCCTCGGCGCCGCTTGCAGCCTCCCAGGCATCTGAGCGAGCGGGGCGAACTCGGGGAATCGGGTGTAGCTTCCACGTTGTAGAATATTTTGCAGCTCGGGGAACCCAGGTCGTCTCGCTGACCCCGACAGCCACGGCGCTCCCCATCCCGCCCCAGTCCCCACGAGCTGTGGGTCCCCTCTGGCTGCCCCGAGATGACTGATACCCGGAACCAGTATTCCGGTTGGGCGATCTCCCCCAGACCGCGGAACCCCGAGGCAGGGGCGCCGCCGTGCCGCATCGGAGGGAGATGGAAAGGCGTGAATGCACGAGTGGGATTTGAAACTTGTGAGCCAAATGTCGCCCTTGGATGGAAGAACTGGGTTTTGGTTTTTGTTGTCTTCACATTTCCAGGACCACCAACAAGCACTCTACCCCAGAAAGGTTAGCTGGAGCAGTTCCAGCTGTGGGCCTCAGGCTCTCTGGCTGAGCTCCCTCCTGGGCCACCTGTGCCATCGGCTTCAGTAACTCAGCTTGGGGGTGGGGAGGGCTTGCTGGCTACAAGGTGCTTGCATTGACCAGTGGCTGCTTATGTCCACAGCTCCCAGCAGCCTCTAGCTGCATAACTGGTGGGACAGAGAAGCAGGACCAACCTGAGGTCAACACCACGCGGAGGAGTGATGTCCCTACCCTGACTTGGGCCCTGGCCAAATTGGCCCCCATCCATGGTCTTTTTTTGTTTTTTGGACACTGAGTCTCACTATGTAGTTCAGCCTGGCTTTGAACCTACTGTGTAGCCCAGGCTGTTCTTGAACTCACGGCAGATCCTTCTGCCTTGGCCTCCTGGATTACAGGCATTCACCACCGCATCTCATTTTGCTCTCATCTGTGGTTTTAAATCCTCAGGCAGAAGTCACTGATTCCTGGCTGAGCCTCTGAGGTAGCTTCCTAATGGTGCTGTAACACAACTTCAAATCTAACAGCTTAAATAAAACCAATTGATCATCCTTCCACTCTATAGGACAGAAAGCTGACATGAGTCACTCAAATGAAAGCACAATCAGGGCTGTGCTCCTTCCTGGAAGCTGCAGGGGAGAAGCTCCTTAAACTCCTCCAGAGACCACCCCTGTTGTTCCCCCGCCCACAGCCCCTTCCTCTAGCTTCATAGCCAGCACTGTGGCGTTTTCCACTTCCTAGCAGCGTGGCTTTCCTTCTTTCTTTCTTTCTTTATTTTGATACAGGGTCTCCATATACAGTCCAGGCTGACGAACTCACTGTGTAGTCTAGACTGGATTCAAACTTGAGGTACTCTCCTGCCTCAACCTCCTGAGTCCTGGGATTACAGGTATGCTCTGCTGCATCCAGCCTTTCTTTTTTTCTTTTAATTTGGTCCTGAGGACTGAACTCAGGTCCTCATGCATGCTAGGCAAGTGTCCTATCATATCTAACTGACCCATGTTCCCATCCTTTTGAGAAAGGGTCCTGCTAGACTGCCCAGTCTAGCCTTGAATTTGGGATCCTCCTGCTGCAGCCTCCGGAGCAGTTGGGATTATAGACATTGGTTGCCATGCCTGGCCAGCCTTTCACTTTAGTTTGCCTGTCTCCCTTTTCCATTCACAGGGACTCTAGGGATTAAACAGCATCCACCTGAGTAATCTACGATACTCTCTTTACTTAAAGTCAGTTGGTGCCTAGTACAGTGGTACTTAGGCCTAGGCAGGAGGATTCCTAGGAGTTTGAGTCCAGACTGGGTTACATAGTGAATTTTTGTTTTATTTTTTGTCTAGTTGAGACAAGGTTTCACTATGGCTGCCCTTGGACTCATTTTGTAGCCTAAGCTAACTTCAGACTTGCAGTGATCCTGCTGCCTTAGTCTCTTGAGTGGTGGGATTACAGGCATTCACTACCACGCTTAGGCTGGATTTTTTTCTTATTATGCAGATCAGGCTGGCTTTAAACTTATTATGTAGGCCATGTAGACGTGGTGGCACACACCTGTAATCCAGGTGACTGAGGCAGGAGGATCACTGAGAATTCGAGGCCAACTTTGGCAATATAGTGAGTTCAAACCCACCCTGAACTACACAGTGAGACCCTGTCTCAAAAAAAAAAAAAAATCCTGCTGGTTGGCAAATTGAATGCCCTTTTGCCAAGTAAAACACCATATCCAATCTTTAGGGTGTGGATGTGTGAAGAACTTTCATTCTGCCCTCCACACCCTTCCTGGCAAGGCTGGCAGAGGAGACATGGAGAGAGGACTGGGTCTGAACCAGAAAAAGCCTTGCTGCCTAACCAGGAGGTAGCCTACCATCCAGGACCTGGAGGCCACGCTGCCAAAGCACCCTGGTCACCCTGGCATCTCCTCCCTCAATATGCACTGGGTATCAGCTTCTCCCTTTGCTTTCTGCTAGAACTCAGCTCTATTCTCACACGGTGGCCTGGATACAGTGCTCCAGTCCACAATCCTGTATGGCCTGGTGTGTCGGGGCCTGGGCAGGGCAATTCTAGGCAGGATCTTACCCAGGTTGGAGGGGATGTTGTCACAGACCTGAGCTGGGCCTTGCAGAAAAAGTGACATTGACTGGGTACCAAAGGGGCATGCAGGACAGAGCAGCCCAGAAGTCTGTGAGCTACAGAGGCATACTCCAGCGGGGCCATGGCACGAAGTATTGTCAGCCGAAGAGTTTTCATGCTGAAGAGGGGCTTTCATGCAGAAAGAAGCTACCTTCTGCTGCCTGTGTTTAAATTAATGCTGTATTTATTAAATGCATAAATTTAAAAAGAGCTAGTTTTTCTTAAACATCCAAGAGCAACTTGGAAATTTAGTTTTCTATTTATAAATCTACTCTTTTTTTATAAAAATAAGAACAGTTGCTTTCACTATTCTTTGATTAATATTTAATTAACTCATAAGTTCAACAGATTAAATTCTTCTGAAAATGAATGCCAATTATAAACTTAGGTAATTCAATTTCCTAATAGATTTTTTTTAAGATAGGAAAAATTACTGGGGAATAGGAATAGCTCCTGAGAGACAGGAGGAGTCCCTAGTGGGTTACCCTTCCTCATGGATTTTAAACTGCTCTTCACAGAGCTGAAATACAGTCTTTAGGCCCTAACCACCTTGTGCTTCTACAAAGAGACTTACACACCTATAGGCACATTTGTCTCTGGATCATTTCAGTGACTCCTGTGCACCAGTAGATTAAACTGTAGAAAATGTGGTACTGACTTAGTGTGGTAAAGCCCAGCACACACCTGTAATCCCAGTACTTTTTGGGAAGCTGAAACAGGAGGATGGAAAGTTTGATCCAGGCTGGGTAATTTAGCAAGATCTTATCTCAAAAAATATAATAAAATTAGGCTACAGGCCAGGGATGTAGCTCAGTGGCACAGTGCCTATCTGGCACTTAAAAAAAAGTGCATAAAAAATTGGGCTGGGGATGTGGCTTGGTGGTAGAGCCTTGCCTTGCATACACAAGGCCCTGGGTTCAATTCCCAGCACCACACACATACACAAAATAGCAATATAATAAAATGGAGCCAAGCATGATGGCACATACCTGTAACCCAGCGCTTGAGAGGCTGAAGCAGGTGGCCCGCCTTAATTTGAGGCTGACCTGGGCTACATGGTGAATTCAGGGCCAGCCTGAACTACATAGAAAACCCTGTTCCAGAAAACAAGAAAAGAAAAGAGAAAGAAAGAAAAGTGTTGGGTACGTAGCTCAATGACAGAGGACCTTTGAATCCTATTCCCAGTCCTGAAAAAAAAGTAAACTGTGGTGGGCACCTGTTTGATGTATTGAAGGACTTGTGTTCAATGCCCAGCACAGCACTGAAAAAGAATTTTTAATATGCTTAAGTAAGTTTTTGTAAATATTCAAATGCTTTTCTGAATTTGGGTCCCCCTGTTACATTTATCTATTTCTTTGTAATAAACCAGGGAAAATTTGCTGAGTTAAAATAACAGCAGCAGACAGGGGAATCTAGCTCAGCAGCCCAAGCACCTCCTGACAAGTGCAAGGTCCTGAGTTCAAGTTCTGGTACCCAAAAAACAGACAAATAAATAACGACAGTGATTCTAGGTCAATGGTACCAGCTGGGAGAAGCTGGCTGGCTCATCTGCTGGTATCACCTGAGCCACCAGCCACCTGCAGCAGATGGCCACCTCAACGCCAGGGCCTCACATGTCCGACCATGTGACTGGAGGTTGGCTGTGGCTATCAGCCTGTGTTTGTGATTCTGCCCCCACTGGATCTCTTTCTTGCCTCCGCAGGCCACAGAGCCGCCCAGAGGGTAGGCTCACCATCTCAGGGCGGGTCCAGTGCTCTATGACTGAAGCCCACTGCCAGCCCAGGGGGATCCACTCCTGTCGCATGCTTCGTGGGAAAACCCAGTCCACCCAGTGTCTCCTGAGAATCTCTAAGTGCCACCTGCCGGTCCCGTTCTTCCCACGTCCTTCATTGACCCAATGAAGCTTGTCCCCCTGTTCCAGGCCCTCCTAATGTCCACCCTGGGTGATGACACTGTGCGTCGCACCCCCCATCCAGGTGGTGGTGACACAGACCTAATGCGATCATTTACTTCATTATTTCATTTCCCTGTGGATCACATGGGCCACGTTGTGTAGTTGCTGTGTTAGGAGCTGTGGAAGGAAGAACATGGTATGAAATATGGGGGACTTGAAGCTACAAACCCCAAGCCCGGGTGACAGGATAGCTCCTCTCCGCCTGATTCCCAAGATGTGGGGTCAAGGTGGGTCTGTCCTGGGGAAAGGTCTGCATGATCGGGACAGGCCCAGGCAGGTCCCGAACATCCTCATTGTCTCCTGCCTGCCAGAGGGATCCCAGGGGCCCCAGGGACCAGT